TTATTTTTCTTAAAAAAATATGTAAAAATAATAAAATTATAAAATTATAAAATTAATAAAATTTAAATAAATATAAATTATTTATTTTTAATTCCAATTTGCTTAGCTGATTTTAGGCTGATTTAAGTTGATTGATGATCAAATTTAGGTAGTTTTTAGGCCAATTTTAGATAGCTGATTGATGACCGATTGATATTTCCAATTGACTCATATTGTGTCAATCAGAATTAATGCAAATCAGCCCTAAATCAGCTATCAATCATCCATCAATCATCTGTCCAATTTTTAGCCAATTTATATCCATTTTGACCAGTGGAAAGAGTTATAGTGGTATTACTGATTATGTTATTAGTTCATGTATGTGATATTTTGTATTCTTTGTTTAGAGCACCTACTTCACATAAAAGAGGATCAAGATAAATGCATTATAGTAAAGGAAAAATAACTTCTCCTTGATCAATACCAATTTTGATATCATAATAATCAGTAAGACCATTAGCTGTAAAAATTGCATTTTTTCTATTAGTGAAAAGGTTGATAATTAGGTCTACACATTTAGCAGAAATTTTGATATATTGTAGGGTGAAATGAAGAAATTTAAGGTTTACATAATCATATGCCTTAGAAAAATCTTGCAATAGAATCCAAAGCTCTTTTTTGTTTTCATTAACATCTTCTAATAACATATTTAGAATTTTGATCATTTTCTGTAGGATCTCTATATAAACTAGCAAAATTGTTACCTTTCAGGACATAATGTTTAGCGAGAATATTTGAGAGTTGATTAGTAACAACTTTGACAAATGCTTTTGTAATGTTTCTAATAATGTGTTTGGACAGGTCTTTGTAATGTTATATTCCCATTCTATTGGTTTGGAAATTAGATATACATGTGCAATTTTTCATTCACTAGGAGTGTCATCAATATTGAAGCACATACAAATTAATTGCCATACTAGATATTTGAATTTTTCTTCTAAGTATTGAAACATTTTATTATGCATATCTAAAGGTCTAGCAGCTTTATCTTTTACTAAATATGAGAAAATTGAGCACTATTCATTATATGTTGGAGGTTGTATAAGATTATCATATATATTCTCAGATACATAATCCTTTGGCTGATATTGTGAGAGTAATCTACCATTCAGAGATCTTGGAAGTGTCAATGGTAATGCATTATTTTGGAAATGATTGATATCAATTTTTTTTAATTTTATCAGAATCTAGGGTAAAATGTTTAGAGCTATCATCATTGTTGACAAAGACTCGATCCAAAGTAATTTTCTTCTTTTTTTTTGTAAAATAGAGTCTATCATTCTACCAGGTTAAGATTCAAGTTGATCACATCTTTTTCCAATGAGTGATTTGATTTGTGCATCAGTATTTTTCTTGCATCTATTTTGGTGAGATTATATAAGACTTTATAGATGCAGTTGAGAGTTTTTTTAGCATCTCTAACATTTGATAAATTTAAAAATTAAGGCAGAGGATCTAAAGGATATAAAATGTCTTTGACAATAGTTGTAACAATATTGAGATCATGTTTCTATTCTTCACCAATAGGCCAAAACTGTTCTCTTAGCCTTTTTGAATAAAATTTTAAAAGAAACTTTTTGATCTTAATGAGTGATAGGTAGTATTAAGAAAGATCTTTTGGTTTTAGTTCATAGTTTTATGTAAAGATCTATTTGTGAGTAATTTTAGAATTACTAATATCTAAAACAATTTTTTTAATTCTATCCAAAGATTATTTATATTTGTATGATTGGATGAGAGATCTTTTAAGTGATCTAAATTGTGATTGTTGTAATAGGTATTGGAATAATTAGCAAAACTTGTCTATTTTGAGAAATCTATAGATTTGAGAAGAGTAACTTTTCTTTTAGTATTATTGATCCTTGAACGAGATTGAGATTCATGTTGAATATTGGAAAAATAAACAATAACAATTTCATGATCTGATTTGTATAAGTATGAATAAATTATATTATAATAAAGAAAATCAAAAACAAAATTCTGAGAAGTAAAGATTGCATTAATATGACTGGAAGTATTCGATCTTTTGAATGTGGGTAAGTGTGTATCATGTTAAATGTCATACAAATCTAAGAAGTTTCTAAGTATAAGACCATATACAAGATCATACTTCCAAGGAATGGTTTAACCAGAATTAATAAGGTGTTGTAATTTAATTAGATCTGTATTAAAATTGCCTATGATGATAATATGAAAACCAGACTGAAGGCTATTATCTATAAGTCATAGTAATGTTGTTTGTAGAACTTTCCTTTCTTTAGATTCAGTAGCATGAATATAAACTGAGAAATTCTTAGTTTTATATTGCCTTTTAAATAAAAATCAACATAAATATAACGATTATTGTCCAAAAATTTTTTAGCAATATATTTTATCAGGATTTGCTGATAAGTAAACCAACACCTGAAAACTTATTAAAGACAAAACTTCACAAAGTATCAAAAAAAAGGATCAGAAGAACATCTAAAAGATTGATGCCAAGTTTCAGATAAGGCAACAAAGTTAATATTCTTTTAGTGAAAAGTATCTAGTATCTTGCTATTTTTAACATCATCACGTAAAAAATGTACATTATGAATAGTAAAGGTAAAGGTATTTCTATTTAAAATTAAATTTCTATTATCACTATGTGAATTTTCTAAGTCATTGTCTATAATAAGGGTAAGTTGATCACATGATGAAAGTAAATTATGAGAAAAGAGAACATTATTATTTGTTGGTGAAAAATGATTATTATTATTAATTGTATATGTGAAGAAAATATTAGGTAATAGAATATTATTTGTTATATTAATCATTAATAGATGTATAATATGAGGTATATCTAAAAGTGAAATGGGTTTGCATCAAGTGCAAACTGTTCAATCTATTTGAACATTAAATCAATTTGCTTTTTTATTCATTTATAATGGCAATTTGTTCATTAACCATATTAATTAGGTCAGGTTTTGGAGTCACAATTTGTGAGGTTAAAGACTCATCACTTGATGATCTAGTAATACGAAATCTTTTGTTGGATGTATCTTGTGATCTTGAAATTAAAGGAGAGGTAAGTACAATAATAATAGGATTTTTTTTCTTTATTGGATAGGATCTTGAGGTCTTAATATGAGAAGAGGTTTGAAAGGTCTCTAACTTGGCAATTTTAGCATTGAGATTATTCATATCTTTTTCATATTGGAGAGAATGGAAAGAATCTGATCTGGTTTGTTATTGATATCATTATTAGGGTTATGAATAGAATCTTTTACAATCAGTTTAATAGTATCTTTTGGTGAAGAAGGTGAAGGAATCTTCTTATTTTTGATGGCCTTAGAATAAGATTTTGAAGAACAATTGAATTTATTGGAATTCACAAATTTTCTGAAACTAGCAGGTTTAAATTTGCTATAAAGTCTTTGCATTGAATTATTTTGATTATTTTGAGTAAATGTTCTTGGTTTAATATGTTCTTTATTTTCATTTAGTAGAATTGATTTTTATAAAAAGGCATTTCGTGATAAGATGAGCTGGATCGCCATATTTGTGACAGCTTCTAGTATCAGGAAAACATCACATCAGTTGATTATTGCCAAAAGCAAAATTTTTGTTGAGTTACTTGGTTGAGAGCTTCCTCATTTTCAAAATGTAAAATAACAAAAAAACGAGGTTTATAGTTGTTAGATCTTGGAATATAACTGGCTTTAGTTTTAGTTGTAAGAATTATATCATGAAGGTCTCTTTCAGAGATACCAAAAGAAAGATTTGTTAATTTAATGTGATGTGTCATATATTTAATTTCTTCTGGAAACAAAGTGTAAGGATTAACACGAATAAAATCATTCTAGACGAATCAACTTCATACTTAATAAAATAGCTTAATACATTTAGGGTTTTCATAAGTAATATAGACATGTTGTCACATACCTCTTACTGTCATTTTAAAATCAGTAACAGTTCCATATTTAGCAAAAACTTGTTTGATATTGGCAGGCTTCATTTGTAATAAAATGTCAGTAACATGAATAGTCCTTTCGTTAAATTGCATATCAGCTTTGTATTGAGAGAAATCACAGAATGTTTTGATTTTAAAATCAGGAATAGTTATGTGTAAAGCTGTGGCAGTCACGTCTGATGTTACAAGTAGACAATTATCAAACATGTCAAATTAACGCGATGAACTAAGATTCCTCTAAATTTGTCATTTTGAGCAAAAACATTATTGATAACAAGAATAATTTTGCTGTTGTTCTTTTCTTTTAGAATAAACTTGATATTACTAGCAACTGCAAAGGGAGTAGCTTTTGTAACAACAGTAAAACTTTTAAGTATTTTTTTATATTATTATTTTCAAGATATTAATCAGAGACTAAAAGTTTGAACCTATCTTTAGATGAAGAAGAGTTTTTAAAGATATTATCAACTTTCATATTATTATTATTGTTGTTATTTGAAGGCGGAATAATTGGTGAAATTTTTATTAATAGTGGCAATTTTAGAAACGTTAAAAACTTTAAAATCCATTTTTTTATTTGGTAGTGAACCAAAAACTTCTTAGACAAGTTCTAAATCAAGGTTTGTGGGAACTGAAGTTGAGGTTGAAGAAGACGAAGGAGCTGGTATAGAATTAGTAACTTCCTTTAGAACTTTAGAAGCAACGTATAGAACGAACTTGAGGTCATTATTTTTTTATTTTATAGCATTTTTACATATTATAACTCTCTCATGTAAGGTAGAAGGTGGGTAAAACAAAGAAACCTTCTTTATACTGGGTTTATTAATTAATTTTTTATTAAAAATGAACTTTAAATTTTTTATTTTTTCTATGAAAATTTTGGTTTTGTAAAATAAGGGAGAGTTTTTTTTTTATTATTCCAATTTTTTTTTTTTGATGTGGCTTTGCCAATTATTTTATTAAGATTTATAGATTTTTCTGAAGAAAATAAAAGAAATTACAAGTAATGAAAACAAAACAAAATAAAAACTATTTAATAATCTAGACTAAATATTAGCTATCTTTTGATAATAGAATATATAAATATACCTATCCGTTTAGGTTGACCATCTACAGATTATCCATATTGGTATAGTTGGATTTAAGATCTTTCAAACGATTAAAGTTGTAGTTGTTGTAATAGGTATTAGAATATTTAGCAAATCTTGTCCATTTTAAGGAATTCATGGATTTGAGAAGAGAAATCTTTCTTTTAGTATTATTGATCCTTGAACGAGCCTGAGATTTATGCTGTATATCAGAAAAATAAGCAATAATAATCCCATGATCTAAATTATAGAGGTACAAATGAATTATATTACAATAAAGAAAGTCAGAAACAAGATTCCGAGAAGCAAAGATTGCATCAATACAACTGAAAGTATTTGATCTTTTGTATGTAAGTAAGGATGTATCATGACATAAGTCATATAAGTCTAAGAAATTTCTGAGTACTAGGCTATGTACAAGATCATACTTCTAAGAAATAGTTTTACCCAGATTCAATGATATATTGTAATTTGTTTAGATCTACATTGAAATCATTCATGCATGATGATAATGTAAAAACCTGATTTTAAACTATTATCTATAAGCCGTAGTAATGTTATTTGTAATACTTTCCTTTCTTTAGATTCAGTAGTATGGATGTAAATTGAGAAAACTCTTAATTTAATATTGCCTTTTAGATATAGATCTACGTAAATATAACAATCATTATCCAAGAATTTTTTCACAATATATTTAGACTAAGATTTGCTGATGAGTAGACTAACATGAAAACCTATTAAAGGTAGAACTCCACAGTATATCAAAATTGGGGTCAGAAGAATATCTATATAATTTTAATGTCTGATGCCAAGTTTTAGACAAAGCAACAATGTTAATGTTTTTTTAAAAAAATGTATCAAGTATCTTGCTATTTTTAACGTCATCTTGAAGAGAATGAACATTATGAGTAGCAAAGATAAGAGTGTTTCTATTTAAAATTAATCACGTGATGAATGTAAATTAAAAAGAAAGGAAACATTATTATTTATCAGTGAAAAATGGTTGTTATTAATATTAATATCAGTAGGTAATATAATGGGTAACAAAATATTATTCATTGTATTTAATCATTTAAAGAATGTATATAAGGGTATATCTAATTTTGAGATTGGCTATCATTCATCACAAATTGTTCAATTTGTTTGAAGGTTCTATTCATATATCTTTTTTGTTCAGTAATAATGGCAGCTTGTTCATTCACTATATTGGTTAGGTCTAGTTTTAGGATTCAAATTGGTGAAGTTGAAGAATCATCACTTAAAGATCCAGCAATGTAAGATCTTTTATTAGATGTATCTTGTGATTTTAGTGATGGTTAAGTAATGTGTGAAACAAATAACAGATCTTTTCCTTTACTGACAATAGTTAAAAGAATTATTGTAGATGTAATTGGAGAAGAAGCCTAAAGAGATTCCAGCTTGACAATCTTGATTTTACTAAAGGTTTGCCTTATTTTAGATAAAAATATTTTTCATTTGATTAAGCTTATATTATTTTTAACAGATACTCTAATTGGAATAATATTAAGATCTTTTATTTTGATGTATTAGCATATGACTGATCAAAATATTATTTCAAAAAATTGCTTGATATTTTATGACAAATCCTTATTTATTTACATGGTCTTTCAATCATTTTTTTTATTATTAATGTTATTAATTATTTTATTTATTTATTATTATTTGTCTATAAATTACCTATATCGATATCATTTAACAAATGCAATAAAAATCTTTATTATTATTTATTTAATAATTATTCAAAAATATATGATCCAATTGATTTATTTATGAAATATATTTTGATAATTTTTTTTAAATAAAAATAATAAACTAATAAATTTATTAATTTTTATTTTTTTATTTTTTATTTTAGATTATATTACTTTCTATAAAAATTATCCTAATTGATCTTCCATTCTACTTTCGTGACCTTTATTTCATAAAATTCATGGTCACAATAAAAACATAACCAATACAATATTAACCTTTTAACCTTATCAACCGATCTGATATATCATTTTATTGGATGAATCGTTGTGTAACTACCTCCTCCATAATACTAGACTATCCAAAACGAAAAAATAAATGTCACATAGTAGATCTATCACTTATTATGCTAACAAATATGCCAATCTATATACAAGATAAATATCATAATTAAATAATTTTTTAATCTTTTTTCATTATTGGAAATTTTGTAAAAATGGCATTAAAATATAATGATATTAATGAATTTTCTCAGGCAAGAAATGTAAATCAATTAATTCAGTTATTTTTGTATAATTCACTTTCAACTTTTTTATAGATTATGGAGGAACTTCGCGTTACCTTTACTAAGCGTCTTACGAAACCATTAGAATATCGTAAAAAGCAACTCGAACAGTTATATCATTTAATCGAAGAAAACAAGGAAGAATTATCTGAAGCATTATATAAAGATTTGCATAAATCTAAGATTGAATCATTAATTGCAGAAATTGGAACAATTAGACAAGAATGCTTGGAAGCACTTAATCATTTGTACGAATGGGCTGCCCCGGAATCTGTTAAAACCAAAATGATATATAAGATGAATAAGTGCTATATTAGAAAAGATCCTGTCGGTTAGTATAACTTGATACCAATTGTCATGTAACATTATTTATTGACATCGAAAGTTCTATTTTTTAGGTACTGTGCTTATAATTGGAGCATGGAATTATCCAGTCACCCTATTATTAACACCATTCGTCGGAGCCATAGCAGCTGGCTGTACTGCAATATTAAAACCATCAGAATTGGCAGTCAACACTGCGGCGGTGATCGCAAAGCTCTTTCCAAAATATTTGGATCAAAATGCTTATCGAATTATAAACGGAGGTGCCACCGAGACAATGGCATTATTAGAGTATCGATTTGATCATATATTTTATACCGGTTCTGGTGCTGTTGGAAAGATAATTATGACAGAAGCTGCTAAACATTTGACCCCTGTTACTTTGGAGTTGGGAGGAAAGAATCCAGTTATTCTAGCCGATGATGCTGATATCCCTATAAGTGCTAAGCGATTGGTCTGGGGTAAAACCTTTAATTCTGGGCAGGTGAATGAAATATATGAAAAATCTGCAATTATTTATTTTTGATCAAATAAAGTGTACTTACGTTGAAGTTTTTAATTCAAGACGTGTATTGCCCCGGATTATATTATTTGTACACGTGATACACAAGAAGCTTTGGTAAAGGAAATACCAAAAGCCATCAAGGATTCTTATGGAAGAAATCCACAAAAATCTCCAGATTATGGTCGTATAATTAATCAACGGCATTTTGATCGCTTGTCAAATCTACTTTCACAAACGAATGGAAAAGTAGTAATTGGTGGCAATTCGGATCGTGATGATTTATATTTTGAACCAACTATAGTTATTGATGTACCTAAGGTTGATAGTTTAATGCAAGAGGAGATATTTGGACCTGTCTTGCCTATTGTTGTAGTTGAAAATATCGATGAATCCATTAAGTATATCAATGAAAGAGATACTCCGTTGGCTTTGTATCCTTTCTCTAGAAGTGATAAGACTGTAAAATACAGTAAGTATTAATTAAAAAAGAAAGGATAGAAGAGTATATTATAATTTTGACTTTCTTTTTAATAGTTTTGGATAATACTCGATCTGGTGGCGTAGTTATTAACGATACTATGCTACATTATGCCGGTAAATTGTTACTTAGTTACTTTTTTTTCTAAAATTGATCAAAAGATTTACTAATTCTTTTTTTATTATTATTGCTGTTGTTCTAGTATCAACTCTTCCGTTTGGAGGAACTGGAGCATCAGGTATAGGAGCATATCACGGTCGTCATTCATTTGATATATTCACACATAAAAGAAGCGTAATGAGTTCACCGTTAGCACTCGAAAAGTTATTAACAACCAGATATGCACCGTATAGTGAATCCAATTTTAAATTAATGAGTTATTTCATGTTCTCTAAACCTAACTTCAAGAATAATAATAATCTAGGAAATGGAATTTTGAATTTTAAAATGTTAATTGGAATTATGTTCATGATGTTTGTTGCTTATTTTACTAGTAATGGAATATCAAATTTAATCGATTGGCAATAAAACATTAATAATACATTAATAAATACTTAAACTACGATTATATATTTATTATTACTATAATTATCATTATAAAAATCATTATAAGAAAACACGAAAAACCTGTTATTTTTTTCACAAAAAAAAAAGGAACGCGTTATTCAATTATCAACATAGCGAGTATACTCAAAGAATATAAGATTCATTGTATCCTTTTCATTCATAATATATAGATACCTACTTTAAAGAGATAATTATTGCTGATAATATTATAATTATTTCATAAGTATTTAAACTTTTTTTAGTTAACAAACACTAGTTCGCTCACATTGAGATTTAATATCTAATATATAAACTTTAATTGATTTAAATTTTATATAAAATTTACATCATTATTAATGATACATGAAATTATAATACCTTTTAAATATAAAACTTAAAAATTTAAAACTTAATTGAGTTTAGATAAATCTATTAAAAGTTTAAGTAAAGATTTATTATATTATTATAAATAAATCTTAAATAAGGGTTGTGAGCTAGGAAAATGAGGTTCTGGGACATTTTAACCAAAGTTAAAATTTTTACTTTATATTAATGTTGGAT